GAAGGGGCACATGCATCCCAATGTTTACAGCAGCAGTATCAACAATAGCCAAAGTATGGAAAGAGCCCAAGTGTCCATCGATGGATGAATGGATAAAGAAGATGTGGTATATATATACAATGGAGTATTACTCGGCAATCAAAAAGAACGAAATCTTGCCATTTGCAACTATGTGGATGGAACTGGAGGGTATTATGCTAAGTGAAATTAGTCAGAGAAAGACAAAAATCCTACGACTTCACTCATATGAGGACTTTAAGATACAAAACAGATGAACAAACATAAGGGAAGGGAGCAAAAATAATATAAAAACAGGGAGGGAGACAAAACATAAGACTCTTGAATATAGACAACAAACTGAGGGTTGCTGGAGGGGTTGTGGAAGGGGGGATGGGCCAAATGGGTAAGGGGCATTAAGGAATCTACTCTTGAAATCATTGTTGTACTATATGCTAACTTGGATGTAAATTAAAAAATAAATTAAAAAAAAACCCAGGAGCTTTTGTTCAAGAGAAATACATCTTACAAGAAATAGAAGTTTTAATTAGAAGTTTTGATTAGTGTTATTACCAATGGTAAAAGTAGTTTGAGTAATAGGTTAGTCTATAAATGACGGATTTAGTAGGATAACCCCAACTTCACTTTATACACACACGTATACAGTTATGTGTACGTAGGTTGAAAAATATACACATATAGAAGACATAAGATAGTTTACAAACAAGCATTTAAAGAAGAGAACATTGTGTGTCAAGAATTCAAGCTCATCCATGGTCCTTCAGATGACCAGGCTGGTGGACTTCTAATAAGGTAAAACTCCAAACCTGAATGAAAGCAGACGTGCGCTTTGCAGGGTCCCACAGAAATTCAACCGCATTTAACTGGCTTGGATTTGTCCTGGTGTCAATTATTCCCACAGACATCGGAATATCTGTATTTTAAGAAGAAGTTACACAGAAACTCATCTACTACAAATAACTGAAAAGCTTACAACTTAATATCATTATGTGCAAATGAAATCATTCAACACCACGCTGAACCTTTTCCTTCAACGTTCCCATGGTCAACCACACTAACACCCAAGCCCGCCCAACGTGCACGAGACTTTCTCCCACCATGGTTTCTATTTCACTTCATTCAACGCACGATGGATGTGCCAATCGAGAACTAAATAAATGGTTTCAAACTCAAAATTCCTGACTCAGGTTCTTTTAGCACCAAAAAACCCACTTTATTTCTAAGTACAGAACAACTCAGGGCACGCAGGACCCACTAACACCAAAACTCTCTCCTCACAGTTAAACATGCTGCCAACACAGTGACAGGCACGGCCGACCGACCGCCGTCTCTCCAGAGTCTTCTGACAGCCACTCGTACCTAAATCGAGAAGTCTGTCTCCAGGGCGATTCCACTTCCAGCCTTCGAGTTGCTGATGCTCCGTGTACTGCAGCCGTCTGTCATGGAACACAACTCTTATGATGCTCTGTGGAGTAAGTGGGGAAAATGAGCACTTTTAAGCTCTTCCGGCTAAAATGCAGAAGTGTTTTCACTTCTTATGCGTTAACCTATAATAGACGAGCATGCGAGGAAAATTCTGCTTTCAACATTTTCCAAGTGAACTGCTTTGTTCTTGGAATATGTGGATTACGGGTATAATTATTCGGTGCAAAAAGAATTACAACTCAGAAATAAAAAGCACAAATAAAATGATCACTTAGGTAAAATTTTTATTTAAAAAGTTGACATCGCAACTCAAAATTAAGGTACACGTCCATAAAATCAGAGAGCAAGAATTTGACTTCTATGAAGAAAACATCAGATTACAAAAATGAAAGGGCAGTATAAGCAGACAGAAACCCGGGCACAATGGCAAAACTATTTAAAATAATAGTTAAAAACTGAGGGGTTTTTTTTTTTTTTTTACAGATAGTCAAAGACAAGTACTGAGTAATATATAGAAATGCTGAATCGCTGTACCTTACAACTGAAACTAATATAACACTGCATGTTAATTATACTTCAATAAAATGAAAAACTAAAAAGATAGTCAAGGGACAGGTGGGAGAATGTGCCCACACCCACCAAGAAAAGAACATACATGCTAAAGTCATTCTCTACTATTTACGTGCAAGAGGTTATCTGAGGTAAGCAGTGGGGGGAAGTTCCGCCCACAGGCAAACTTCATCCAAACACTCCGGTTCCCAGGGAAGACTTTACTCCACACACTTGAGGCCAGTTCTCCGCTCTCCACCCATCCCTCCTTCACTTCCCACACGTTTCAGGTGCCAATGATTGTTTGGTTCCAGAAACAAGAAAACAGGTCATGCAATGTCTTCAGATACTAGTGTTTCTGACGCATTTATAAGCAACTTTCTCATGATGCAGTAAGATCATCATGTTTCCAGTCTACGCTCTTGTTTGACTAGGAAATAATCTGTTAGCAACACATATAAATACTACTTTAGTGCCTTGCCTTCCCTACCCACCAGGGTACTGCCCAAAATGTGGCAGAATGGAGAAATATTTTGAAGGAAACTATTAAAAAGCAGCAGTATTTTAATGTGAAATGCAGTTGACCCTCGACAGCACGGGGGTTGGAGGCGCTGAACCCTCCCACAGTAGAAAATCCACGTGTAACTTTGGACTCCCCCAAAACAACTACTTAATAGCCGACTGTTTACCAGTTTACCGGTAACATCGACAGCTGAGTAACACACATCTTGTGCATTCTTACAATAAAGCTAGAGAAAACAAACTTCTACTAAAAAATCGTAAGAGAAAATACATTCACAGTACTACGCTGTGTATATTGAAAAAATCTGCTCCTAAGTGGACCCGCGCAGTTCGAACCCTTGTTGTTCAAGGGTCAACTGTAGTTTACAAAGAGGCCAAAACAGTCACTGGGAGCAAAGTGGAAATCTATAAAGGCACAGTCACAGCTGTGGTTCGTGCCACCCGCCTTGCCACCTGCACCCATGTCTGCGGGGCCTGCCCGGCCGTCCACCAGCACCCACGTGACACCACCGCCCGCGGGCAGCGAAGACCTCACGGGGAAGGTGCACGGGCTGGCGGGGGCCTTGGGTCACGTTGCCCAACAAGCCGAACTCAGAATAAGGTGCAGCACAGAAATGCCATGATTTTGATTCTTTCGTATTTAGTGAGAACCAGATCGAATCCACAAATTCAGATGAAAATAGTATGAGAATATCGGTATCAGATTTAAGAGCTTGACTAAACCTCATTCTAGGAGGCCAGACTAAGATGGCACGGTAAAGAATATTAGAACCAGAGTTAAGAAGTGGCAGCCTATTAAAAAAAAAAACTTATGTGAATTTGGAAGGGGAAAAGAAAGTCAAACACCAAGAGAGCCAGCAGGGGAAAGGGGCCCTAACAGCAAGAACGAGCAAAGCGAGCACATCACCAAGGCCACTGAGCACGGTCAAGTTCCAAAGCACCTCTGCCGACCCGGCATTTGTTCCCTAAGATGCCCCCACCATAGCAGACTCAAAGATCGTGGAGTCAGGAAATTAGACACCAGATTGCTGCACAGTACTTCTGGGATATATATTGCAGATAAAAAAAGGGTGGGCTTCTTAAGAAATTCACCCTGCAGTCCTCTGGCAGGAGCAGACTGTTGCTCTGAGTCCCAGGCAAGCTCTCGGGCTCTAACTCGATGTATTCTGGCACAGCCACCAAATATCAGACATGTGGCTTATGTGGAAGATGAAACTGATTGAAAACCTTAAAAAATGTTTTTAATGTTTATTTTTGAGAGAGAGAGAGAGAGAGAGAGAGAGAGAGAGAGAGAGGACGAGCGGGGAAGGGGCAGAGAGAGAGGGAGACACAGAACCCGACGCGGGCTCCAGGCTCTGAGCTGTCAGCACAGAGCCCGACGTGGGGCTCGAACTCACAAGCAGTGAGATCCTGACCTGAGCCAAAGTCAGACGCTTAACCGACTGAGCCACCCAGGCGCCCCAAGACCTTTTAAAACTTAACCTTTCCACTCTGTAAGCTAACTGTTTAGGAAAACTGATGCTTTCAAAATAAGTGCCCTTGTCGAGGAAGAACATGCTTGTTTAATGACAGCAAAACACCCACTTTGCACTTAGAGGGAGACGGTTTCTCTACTGTCAACAGTTCACTTACCTCATAATGAAGAGTTGTTTTTGCCTTAATTTCTTAACTGGCGTGAATCTTGTAAATTAGATGTTTTTACATATTTTAATTTGGAAGTAAATCCAAGAGGCAGAACTTAAAGCAATCAAGCAACAACTTAATTAACCCTGCCATTCCAAGTTAACCTGACTGGTGTTCTCGAGTAGCTTATCACAGGCACCCAGGATACACGTGTGTTTATCGTAAACCACGTGAGAAACACATGTGGATGCGTCATCGCACCATTCTACCTCTGTTATGCTTAAATTTTACCATATAAGTAGCTTTCTATCAACGTCTACCATTTTTAGGTCCAGTTTTCAGGACCTCAATACCAGGCACATAATGCCTCACTTCATTTTGTACAGGAGTCTACAATTTAAACAACGTTTCAACACTTCCACATCGATTTTTTTTTAAAGCGGCTTCTCACAGTCATCCAATGTAACTTTCACAGTGACAGAGGAATTCACCCACATCTTCCCTTAAAATATATACTCCTGGTGGCATTTTCACAAATACAATTGGCAGATTTGCCTGCAGGTGAACCAGGGCACCCGGTGGCCTGACAACAAGCCAGCCTGGTAGGACTAGGGCATCCCGAGAGGATCGCTGACATCTCGAAGCTTCCTACACACTAGAAAACGAGAGCGGTTAGTCTGACCTGACTCACCCTCCGGGGAAAGGACCAAACCCACTGACCGAGCACAGACCCGACAGACTCAAGGTGCAAACTGGCGAATGTGAGAATGGGAAACAAGCTGTCTCCCTCTGGTCTGGGGAAGATGGGAGCTCTGGGAGTCGGAAGTCTGGGAGCTCACTCCAAGCTGGCAAGACAATGATCAGTGGGGAGCAGACCCCCATCTTTCCTCCAACCTCCCAAAGGATTGGGGTCTTCCTGCCTCCCAGGAACGGAGGAAGCACTAAAACATCCCAAAGATGCTCCGGCTCTCCCAGATGGGCCCAAGCTGCCTTTCCCGCGCTCACCCTCTAAAAAGGCAGACCCACAGAGGGGAGTCTTTCCATGGAACGCCTCTCCATACCGAGCGCCCAGCAGTGCCCAGGCCCCCGGGTGCCTCTCTGGGAAGACGGAAGCGTCAAGAGAACAAAGGTCTGCTTCTCTCACGCTGACACTTAGCCACACTGAAGCTCTGCCTTCCCTCAAGCTTCTTCCAGAAGTCCTGCCCTGTAATGCCACCGAATCTATAGTACAGCACTCTGTGTGTGACAGGCAGAGGCTAGAGGATACCCTGCAGGACACTGGAGGGAGCAGGACGGTCCCGAAGATCTATCCTAAAAGGAATGGACTAGCCAGCCGATGGTTATGCCTCCTACACTTGGAATGACCGCCCTCATTCAGATACGTCTCAGCGTGGACACAGGGTGCACAGAGATCTCCAGTCTTCAGAGAGATTTTAAGAGGTGAAATAAAAGGGCTTTAAAAGTGTCATATGAACACTTAACATTTCCCCCCACGTTATTCTTTTACTTTTACAGGAAAAACTTAAAAGTCTCTGTTGTGGTGGTGGGTTTCTCCCCCACGGCCGCAACTGTGCTGCCTTAGTGTCCAAAGGGCTTTCACATTTCCTTAACCCAGTAACTGCTATCATTTCTGTTTTATAGACAAGGACACAAAATATAGTTCAAAACGTCAAGAGTTGCAGGGTAGCCGATACTTCTTAAAGTGAAATTAAATGGTTTTAAAAGAATGACTCTCGGGGCGCCTGGGTGGCGCAGTCGGTTAAGCGTCCGACTTCAGCCAGGTCACGATCTCGCGGTCCGTGAGTTCGAGCCCCGCGTCGGGCTCTGGGCTGATGGCTCAGAGCCTGGAGCCTGTTTCCGATTCTGTGTCTCCCTCTCTCTGCCCCTCCCCCGTTCATGCTCTGTCTCTCTCTGTCCCAAAAATAAATAAACGTTGAAAAAAAATTTAAAAAAAAAAAAAAAAAGAATGACTCTCGTGCAAAAAAACCTAAACCTGCTACTTTTTTCAGTCGCTGCAAACAATACCTGTTGGGAATCAAAATGCATCATCCTTACCTTTACCAATTTTCCAGTAATCTCGGGCATATCTCCCATTTTCCGATTATCCAGCATCCGAATTTCGTAAGACTGACCTATTTTGAACAAATTGTTGAATTTAAAGAAACTGTGTATCACCGACAGTCCACACAAAGAACATCGCTGTTTAACATAAAACTTCAATGGCCTCTCAACTAGAGGAACCACTCAGGTTGATTTTTCTTTCCTACAAACCACATCATCCTTTCCTTCGTACACTATGACAGAAGAATGAAGAGCTTCTCTGACGGTTTATTTTCATGTGCTAGACTCTCACATTAAAATTTTATTATACACAACAAGCATAATCCAACACCAGTGTTTTACCACGGCTTTACTGAGATACAATTCACATACCATAAAATTCATCCTTTTAAAACCTGACTCGTGCTTAGCATATTCAGAATTGTGAAACCATCACCACTACCAACCATGGGGCATTCTCATCACCCCGAAAAGGAAACTGCACCCCTCAGCAGGCACTTCCCACCCTCACCCACTCCGCCCCTGGCAACCACTCATCACTCTATTTTCTGTCTCCAGGGACTTGCCTGGCTCACACCGGACATAAACAGTCACACGGTACGTGACTCACCGGCTTCCTTCACTACGCATGCTTTCAGCGTTCACGCACGTCACAGCAGGACAACGGGCAGATATCCTTTCACTGCACTCTGCTGCATCCCCCTTGGCAGATGCCACGGTTTTTACAACTGGAGGTTTGTGACCACCTGCATCAAGCAGGTCGATCGGCACCATCCTTCCAACAGCACGTCACTAAGAGTCCTCACGCTGTATCTGTCACATTTTGTCATTCTCAGTATTTCAATTTGTGTAATTCACAGTATTGCAGACTTTTTCATCATTATTGTGTTTGTTATGGTGAACTGTCATTGTAACCCACTGTTTAGCAATAAAGCATTTTTTTTGAAGTTTATTTATTTTGAAAGGGAAAGAAAGAAAGCGAGAGAGCAGGAGAGGGGCAGAGAGAGAAAGAATCCCAAGCAGGCTCTGCGCTCTCAGCGTGGAACCCGATGCGGGTCTCAAACGCACAAACTGTGAGATCGTAACTGAGCTGAAATCAAGAGTCAGATTCTGAACCAACTGGCCTCCTCACTGCCTGGGCCTCCCAGGCGCCCCGCGATGAAGTATTTTTTTTTACCTAAAATATATACATGGTTACTGCACACTGACGAGACCATAGGATGCTGTAAAGAGAACTTTCATGTGCACTGAGGAGCCGGAAAACTCGTCTGACTCATTTTACTGCTGTGGTCACTTTACTGTGGTCCGGAACAGAACCTGTGCTGCCTCTGTCTGAGGTGTGCCTGCACTTCACTCCTTTTTACTGCAAAGATTCCATCGCAACAACGTACCCCGTTTTGTTTGTCCATTCACTAGCTGACGGACATCTGGTTGGTTCTCCTTCCTGGCCATTAAGAGTAGCGATTCTGTGAACATCTGTGTACTGAGTTTCGTGCGAGCCAAGACCACGTTTTAATCCTAGAACCTTCTTCCTGTGACCAATGGACCCAACTCACATTCTCTCACTGTTTAATGTCCATAAGAAAACACAAATAGACATCGACACACCAACCTGTATCATTAGGAACATAAGCTGTTGCCAACAGTCAAGAATGTACTCTGCAACCACAAGAATGATTTCTCAATTACCCATCATTAAGTAGTAACGACGACAGCATAATCTGATATGGAGAAAATCAAGAGTGCTTACAGGAGCACCTGGGTGGCTCAGTGAGTTAAGTGTCCGACTCTTGATTTTGGCTCAGGCCACGATCTCATGGTTCCCGGAATCAAGCTCCACATCGGGCTCTGTGCTGACAGTGTGGAGCCTGCTTGGGATCCTCGCTCTCCCTCTCCCTCTCTGCCCACCCCTACTCGCTCATGCTCCCTCTCAAAAATAAATCTACTTGAAAAACAAACAAAAAAAAGGAGTGTGTCTGGTATGCATCATATGAAGCTGAGGATATTTATGATCTAGTCCACAACTCCAATGGCGCATACCCTGTATAAAAATATACAGAAGGTACTAGATCATATGGTCAAAATACAACAAAAGGTTATTAAATCACAACCAAATCACTCCAAGGCTGGTGAAGGAAAACCATTGCATATAGTATGTTACTAAGAAAAAGTCCTTAAGTCCTTCAACAGATTGAGATTACCACTAGCTAACACCATGGCAAAAGACATTCTTAAAAAGTTAAATTTGCAGCATACGTAACAATGGATCTAAACTCAGAAAAACAGTAAGAAATAAATTTTAAAATAAAGCATATGAATAGGTATTTTGAAAACTATACTATTATACGTTTAAAAGTACACTCAACTTCACAAAAATTTAGGCAAATTAACAAAATGTTTGTGTTAATTATCACATCAATAAAAAAATGTTTAATTAAAAACCAAGTAGGTGAGGACAGGGGAGAAATAACCTGCCCAGGAGGGAGGGAAAACTTGTCCTGTGAGGATTATTTTACGATCCTCAAAATCTCAAAATTCTCAGCACTGAAAAAAAAACAAATCAGGTGCCTGAGTGACTCAGTCGGTTAAGCCTCTGACTCTTGGTTGAGGCTCAGGTCTTGATCTGAGTTTCCTGGGTTCAGCCTGCATCGGGCTCTGTACTGGCAGCGAGGAGCCTGCTTAGGATTCCTCCCACCCCCTCCCGCCCCCGCCCCTCCCCCACTCACGCTGTCTCCGTCTCTCTCTCAAAATAAATAAACTTAAAAAAAACCAAATCAAATAAGGACAACATCTCCATGTTCCTGTCTTCCTTTGTATGATTTTTCCTAGTCAACCTAACAGGACACCTCTGTGCTCAATACAAAGTTCAATGTTTTCACAAACAGATCTCAGGATTGGTTGCTCCTGTATTAAAGCACTGTCGATTTCTATTCTAAAATCCAAAGTAAGTTTCTACAACAGGCTCTGTAACACTTGCTCTTCTTTAAATGGTTTCCCTATGGGCACCTGGCTGCCTAAGTAGGTAGAGCAAGCGACTTCTGATCTCAGGTTTGTGAGTTCCAACCCCACGTTGGGTGTAGATTACTTAAAAATAAAATCTTTGAAAAAGAGATGATAGTCACTGAACAACCAGGCCTTCATTGGTTTAATTTCTCCTTCTATTTGATGCCCTTCCATAAATCTCTTAATAATATAGTTTCCAGAAACATGTCTAGGTTTTAACTGAAATATAAAGAAGACTCCAGTATCAATGGAGTATACAGTTAACACAACAGCAGTACTCTGATTTGCTAGTCCTATTTTAATTTTTTTATTTTCTTTTAAACTCTGTAAAAAATGTCTATTTATTTATTTTTGAGAGACAGCATGCATGCACCTGCGTGAAAGAGCAGGGGAGGGGCAAAGAGGGAGACAAGAGAATCCCAAGCAGGCTCCGTGCTGTCAGCACAGAGCCCAATGTGGGGCTCAAACCCACGAACCGGGAGATCATGACCTGAGCCAAAATCAAGAGTCAGACACTTAACCAATGGAACCACTCAGGCTCCCACTAGTCCTGTTTCCAACTTTATATTCTGAACTTACCTTTCATGTTTTGACTTTAAGTTTTATTGAGAGAGAATGTGCACATGCACACATACATACACACACGCGCGCGCGCTCGCAAGAGTAGGGGAGAGGCAGAGAGAGGGAGACAGAGAATCCCAAGCAGAGTGCACTGTCAGCACAGAGCCCAATGCAGGGCTCGATCTCAAGAACCATGAGATCATGACCTGAGCCAAAACCAAGAGTCCGAGGTTTAACCTAAGCCACACAGGCACCCCTGAAGTTTTGACTTTTTATTCTTTTGGCTGACAGAGTTGCAAACTATAATTGTTGTGAGTTCACATCCCCACCCAGTTTGGTTCCTCAGATGGACTCCAGAGCAACACGGAGCCCAAGGTGTGATAGTCCCCACCACCCCCCATGGCTAAGTTCAAAGAATTGATTCCTAAGGTCCTAATATAGAACTTTAATCTATAAAAAGAACCACAGCTAACCTCAGGGAAATGCACAGCTGTAAAATGAAATTAACAAGAAATATATTCTTTTTTGAAACTTCTATCATTTAACAGTATTTTTCTTTTTTTTCTTTCCAAGTTTTTATTTCTTACATATTGGTTTTCTTCTCTCTTCTCTTTTTTTAACAGTATTTTTAATCCAACAGACATGCTATTTCCTAGGGCCTAAAACCTAGGTTCTCCAAATAGAAGTTGGCCTTCCAATGAGTAGGTATTTCTCATCCGACAGCAGCAAAAAGCTGACCTGGGAAAATCAAGGGGTTCAGAAGTCACATCCCTACCATAAGGAGGGAAGCTTCGAGGACTCAGGTGGAGCTGTAAGACAAGGGGCGGTCCAACAGCGGCCAGATCCCCACTCCAGGGGAGAGCCAGCTGCCTTTACTCCACCCTCCGGGGCTCCGCGGCATTTGGACTACAGTCTTTCACTTCGCAAAGTGAGACTAATTCTTGTAACCTAAGGGCAGAGAAGGTTAGCTGCTCAAGCATAAACAGGAAAACACAAATATAGTTTTTAAACTCTGTGCTTGTATTGTTCAAAACAAAAACTGACGCTCCGAGGCATCGAATACAACTTGGAAAACTTGCTCCAATTTACACCTGCCTAGGACGCTAAGACCACACAGAATTTATCTTTTCTTTATGGTTTTATGCCATGGCAAATATTCTTCAGCAATGGCTGCCCAAGAGGCAGAAGGGGAGCAATGAACTTTAAGGGTAGGCTACCTACCAGCGGTGACCGAGCTACAGCCAAAGAATGGCACAAGCATGTGCCAACACTCAACTGAGGAGACCCATCCATAAAAGGCAGTGGTGAAGGAAGCTTGCATACTTGCCTGAATATTCAAGGTGATTAAAATACGTAAGCAGGGGTCCCCAGACCAGCAGCAGCGGCATCACCCGGAAACTTGTCAGAAATGCAAATTCTCCGGCCCTACTCCAGACCTCTAGAGACAGAAGCTCTATGGGGCACAGCGATCACGTTTTGACAAGCCCTCCGGGTAACCCCAAAGCATGCTACAGTTGGGGAGCCACTGGTATGTGAAGCTCCCAACAGCCAGTCCATCACTACTCTCTCCAACACGAGGCCCTCAGGACCCTCTCCTGGGAGTAAACTTTATATTCAAAAAGCCCTGAGGAAAATGCCAAGAATTAACCATCTTTTCCTTAGCAGCTGAATAAATACCGTATTACGATAAACACTCCCAAAGTGCTGTGCCAAAGAGAAAAACAGCCTGGTTTGCAAGGGCTGGTTATACTATTGTATCATTTTGCACAGGGTTCATTTAATATAATGCTTTATCCACCACTGTGCAATATTACAGGTAATAAGATTTCAAAATCCTTCTTAGTTTAAATGGCTTACCGGTCTACGCCGAAATTAAGAACTAATTCAATCTAGAGCTGTTTAAATTGCATTATGACTCCTTTGCAAGTAACCGCAATGCATTACATTCGTTTCCTTGTCTGACAGCCTCACAACAGTCTAGGATACCTCTTACTCCGTCATTAACGGGTGCTCCACAAATACACTATATTCACATATATGCATTATACATGTGTGTACAGTTCACATATGTGAATATACACACATGCGCAAGCGCACACACACACACACACACACGCACAAGCACAAGAGCTCAGACTTGGTGAGATGCCCTTTCGAGACCCAGCTTTGGCAAGGCCTTCAGACGTAAGCAAGGAGGCGGGACCATATGATGCAAGTGTTTTCATCTAGACTCTAAGAGTAGATGCTGCCCACCTTGTGGAAACAGCTCTGATAACACACAGCAGTGGCCTACGCCGCACCACCCTGGAGATCAGCCACCTGGTACACATTTGCTTCGGCTGACATCATAGTTGTCTACTGCCGCTACAACAAATTTCGACAAACTCAGTGGCCTGAAACTATACAAACTTGTTATCACACAGTTCTGGAATTCAGAAGTCCAGCATAGGTCTACTGGGCCAACATCAAGCAGTCAGCAGGACTGTGTTCCTTTTGGAGGCCTTAGGGTAGAACCCACTTCCTTGTGGTTTTTGGGTTTTTTTTGTTTTGTTTTTGATGCCACTAATATCCCTTGGCTCATGGCCTCTTCCTGGGTCTTCAAATCTGACTCCGACTCTCCTACCTCCCTCTCTATAAGGACGCTTGTGATTTCACTGGGACCACCTATATAATCCAGGATAATGTCTCCATCCCGACACCCTTTATTACTATTTTTTTAATGTATTCTCTACCCCTAATGTGGGGCTTGAACTCACCACCCTGAGACCAAGTGTCACATGTGCCATCAGGCGCCCCTAACACTCTTTATCTAACCACATCTTCAAAGTCCTTTTTGCTATATAAGGTAAAATATTCACAGGTTCTGGGGATTAGGGCATGGACATCTTTGGGGAACAATTATTCTGCCCACCACAGTTCCTAAGCAGTGCAAAAATGCTATTTCTACAGTTTAAAACTCTGACTGGCTTATTTAAAAGATTGTGATAATACACTTTCCAACAAACCTGGCAAACTTCCTGAGTCACGGAACAGGTATCTAGTACCAGGCTGGGTTCTAGCAATTTCCAAAAACTGCTCATCCAGCTGCAACAGGAAACTAACACATCAACCAAGGTCTAAATAGTTGGTTTCCAGTGTGATCAGAAACCATTAAAGCTACTTAGTTATAAGTGACAGGAACAGCAATAAAGGTCGTATTGGACTTCCTATGTGTTGGCTAGCTTGTAAGTGCATCATATCCATTAATTCAATTTAATCAACTGCTCTCACCTTGTCTTACGAATCTGTAAAATGCATTTTTTAAGTAAGCTCTATGCCCAACAGGGGGCTTGAACTCATGACCCCAAGATCAAGAGTCTCCTGTTCTACGGACAACCAGTCAGGCACTCCTAAAATGGATTAATAAAACTTCGGGAGTTATTGGGGAACTAAATAACACACATATAGTACTTAGTGCAATGCTTCACACATTGTGAACACTCAGCAAACGTCAGTCTAATACGTCATTACTATAGATGGTGGCTGGCAACTTTTATCAACATGAGAGATCTTTTCCCAGTTTAATAGTAACAGTGATAAATTATGGATGTTTCCCCAGGCCAACAGACAGACACATCCAACACATTCCTTTAAACAGGGGTCTGTGTGTACTCGATCATCCCATGGTATGCACGCAACAGAACTTACTCAACTATTCCCCAAGTAAGAGAAATGCACGTGACTCCCTTGTCATTAGAAATAAAGCTACAGCGGATATCCACGCCCCTACATAGTTTCTTCTGATATTTTTTTATATCTAAAACAGGTTACCATATACACTTAAGGTTCTTTCAAATATGACACTTAAGTCTCAAACAACAGAAGGCCTACCCAAACAATATTAACACCAAAGTTAGGGTACTGCTATGGGTGCTATGGTAGAATAACCTGGGTTGTAAAACCTCATGGATCCTCAATTTATAGATCAAATGAAAGGCTAGCATAAGTTATTCTTCCGTATTTCAGAATACTATTATTTCATAATAATCTAAAATCTACAGCTCACAGTTCAAGGAATTAAAGATCCTATTTAATGATGGAAAAATAATCATAATATATCTTAAGCGAACAGGTGTTAATTCCAATTTTGTTGAAATATACACAAGAAAATACACCTAAAACAACATTTAAAATACTAAAAAGTATTCTTGGCGGGATGCAGCTACAGTCAATTTTCATCTTTATCTCTTGAGGTATTTCCCAATCCTTCTACAATTAGAGTATGTACTACTGTTTTTACAAGAATAAAAGTTCAGGGGTGCCTGGGTGGCTCAGTTGGTTAGGCACCCAACTCTTGATTTCGGCACAGGTCATGATCTCACGGCTCGTGAGTCTGGGCCACTGCACTGTCGGTGCGGAGCCTGCTTGGGATTGATTCTCTCTCTCTCTCCCCTCCACCGACCCCCGCCCTCCCTTGCTCACTCTCTCGCTCTCAAAAATAAACTTTAAAAAAAAGAAAAAAGGAAACTCTAGATTTAAAAGAAATCTAAAGGAGCAACATGCTTTCAGTATGTATATCCAACAAATGAATAGCTGTGTAACAAAGTACTTTTGTTTAATTTGGTCAGTCACATTGGCCCATGCCCAGACTGCTAAAGGTACCTCAGAAAAAATCCCTTATAATTTCCAAAAGTAAATTCTACACCCACATCCGTTTTCCGCTCTGCCAGCTCTCATTTTCATATCACCAAAACATAATATTCTCATCAAGTGCAGACAAGATACGGGTGGACAAAATTTGACACGGTTTATTTTAGCCACAGACCCCATCCTGGTGCAGCTTGTCTATTTTCAGCACAAACCTGCTTCAGGCCTGAGACCCAGGTTCCTTGCTAGCTGGATTTCTGATTCATTCTCAAGTTCCATATTGAAACCAGGGTTCCTAAAAATAACTGACATCCTTTCCTACTTGCTCCTCCTCTGGATTTGGTCTGAAAAACCCTGTAATAAATCTCGTTCCACAGACCTTATTGATGCAAATCGGCTTCCACAAACTTTTACCTCGTTGGCTCACGGTAAAATGCCGACAATTTCTGTTAACTAAAGCTGTCGAACTTAAGAAACATAATCGAATTGCAAGCTGTTACCGGCAGACTAGGCTGTAGTGCCACCGTGGATATATCGAAGTTCTTCCGGCAAAACACGATCCAGCCATACCAACCTTGGTTCAAGTAAGTGAGCGTCTCGTCGTGCAGTTTGACGGCTGGCGAGGTGGCGGCGCACATCACATACTGAAAGGGTGGGTGTTTAGTCTCACCATCCAACGGAAGGCTGGAATCTTCCTGCTTAAAAATGGGCAATGCCAAGACATCGCTGAAAGGCAAAGGAATCAACATTGACCTGAGTTTGAGTTTAAAATACTTGAAAGCATATAAAAACATGTAGGGGTAGCTTCTTTTAAAACTTTAAGTTCAAGGGCACCCGACTGGGTCAGTTGGTGGAACATGCAACTTCTGATCTTGGGGTTAGGAGTCTGAGCCCCGCGTGAGGTCCAGGCGCTACTTAAAAAAAATAAATAAACTTTTATAAAAAAATAAATAAAATAAAAGTTAAGCCCAGAAACGTCATGTAGAATGAGAGAACTATTAATGTTAATCTGGCTCCCCCAAAAGATAGTATTAATAACCCATCTCTCCAGCGTGGGTCGGGGTGGGGGGGAGAGTGGGGGAGCAGCTACGATTAGGCAGATAAAATGAGAAGTATTTAATAGTTAATAAAGTCCATGCTGATTAAGCAAGAGATCTAACAATATGTCTGCTACTTCAAAAAACTCTTTAAAAACCTTAAACTCCATATTATTTCTATAAGAAAAAAAGAGCAAGTGCATAGCTACCTGTTTTGAAAGGTAGGTCACACTGGCACCATAAAATCACAAAGAAGCGTCTGATTAAGACGGTACTTTACAAAAAGTGCCCCGCTAGGCCTGGCAAATGCTGGGCATAAAGCCTCAGGCTTCGTCTGAAACAGTGGCTTCTTCTGAGAAGCGGACAGTTGCTGCAGAAGCAGCTGCTATCTCCCCAAGGATAACTTGGCGCACCGGCTGGGGGGATGCGGGGGGGGCCTTCTGGGGCACTGCCTGTACTCTTCTCTGTTAACCCAAACACATGGATGTGTTTGCTTTGCTTTTTTACAAAAACAGCAGAGATATAAACTTACATTCCATAAAAACTCACCCTTTTAACCATTCAGTGGGTTCTGGCATATTAATAGAGTTGTGCAGTTATCCTATCTAATCCCAGAACATTTTCATCACCCCAAAAAGAAATCTCATGCCCGTCAGCAGTCACTCCCCAGCCCTATTGCCCGACCCTAACCCTAGTCCTGGCAGTGACCTACTGTGTCTCTATGCACTTGCCTTTTCTTTTTTTTTTTTTAATGTTTATTTATTTTTGAAAGAGATAGACACACACACACATGGAGTGTGGGCAGGGAAGGGGGGCAGAGACAGGGAGACACAGAATCTGAAGCAGGCACCAGGTTCTGAGCTGTCAGCACAGAGCCCGACATGGGGCTCGAACTCATGAACCACGAGATCACGATCTGAGCCTGAAGTCGGACATTCAACCTACTGAGCCAGCCAGGTGCCCATGCACTTGCCTATTCTCAACATTTAATGCAAAGAGAATCCCATGGCCTTTTGAGACTGGCTTCTTTTACTTGAGGTTTTCAAGGTCCCGCTGTTGTAGCATTCCCATTTAGGGATGATACTCCCTTCAATCAGACGGATCTAACAGATGGATCAGTCTGTTTATCCACCCTGGGGCATCAGGGCTGCTGCTGCTAGTGTAAACCTAGGAGAATTGCCAGGTTATATGGTTACTCTGTTTAACTTTCTAAGGAACTACCAAAGGGCTTTCCAAAGAGGATACACAATTTTACATTCCCACCATTAATGTATGAATTATAGGTATTTGCTTTGGAGATAAATTGCTGTTCTGTACACCTGTATCTTGATAATGTCTCTATGTTCCTTCCTCCATAAAAAAGTAAAGTAATAACAAAATATCCAAATGAATAACTACTTTATCAACACCACTAGCAAGGGCTTGTCTGAATTGCTTCCCCGCCCCTCAAAAGCTGTTAACATACTCAGATATTTGGCTAGTCCATTTTAATTAAATTCAATTTAAAACCAAAAGTGTAAATAAATGAGATGGGAGAGAAAGGCTGCACTGCGTTCGCTCCTCCCCGCACACACTCTATTAAAGCACCAGACTGATTATTCAAAGACTAATTACCCACTAGCCCTCTTCGCACCTGGGAATTGCCAACACGCTCCTATGCACTTAAGTATAACTGAGAAACACACCGTCAGCACTGGTCCTCAATCCTCTAGAGTTCTTCTCAACACTGCAACCTGAGGGTCACCCGAGGGGCACAGATCTAAAACTTTGCGGCAGATATAAAAACTTTTCAGGAGGCTGAGAAACGGTGCTTTAAGACTTAGAGCAACTCTCTTCATGAAAAACAATCATGATTATTCCATGGTAGATGAGCATATATATATATATATTTTCTTATGTTCTATATACGTAAGCATTTTAAGGATGAGAAAAAGGGGCACCTGGCTGGTTCAGCCAGTAGAGCATGCAATTCTTGATCTCGGGGTTGTAAGTTCGAGTCCCACATTGGGTGTAGAGATTACTTAAAAATAAAATCTTAAAAAAAAAAAAAAAAAGATCCTTTGCTATTGAAATCCCAATTCATTTGAACTAGGGTCCCGGCAAGGCCCCCACTCTGCTCTTCTTCCCTCTTCTACTTGTCCTCACTGCCCCTGGCCCCCACACCAGCCTCCCACCCTGCCTCTTTCAAGGCATCTGTACTGGTGCTGGGTTTGGAGCCACTCTTCTGCTGATGTCCATCCACTTCGCTTCATTTAAATGTCACCTTCAAAGCGACAGCCTGCCAACTGCAGTCCGCCCATCCGTGTTCCCAACTCCCCTTGTCCTGTGCTATCTTCCCACAGAGCTTATCACCTTCCCACAGTACACAGGACTTAAGTTTGTACCACCCCTAAGTATACAACCATCTCCCAAATTTGTTTCACTTCACTGACTCACCCCAACATTTAGAGCCTCAAATGCCTGCTGAATCAATGAACCAACGGCAGCCCTAATAATCAATTATTAAAATGAAAAAAACAGGTATCTAGATAATTTAAAATCCTCATGTCTACTAAGCCGAACCTTAGGAAAGAAAGTCCCAGGAGTCAACTGTTTTTTGTAATCCCACATCCCAGACAGGTAGAGCTCCCAGGGATCAGACAAGCAAATGAAAAGTCTCAAGGCTTCAAATTATTACAAGTAATTTTGAAATGCCAGTACCCAAAAATAACCAGGCACACAAAGACAAACAAGACTCTGGGAGCAAGAACCAACAGCAAAAACAACAGATGGCATGCACCCAGTTCCAGATCTGTCTGTTGGTATTCAGCTCTTTTCCGCCTCTGTTGCAGAGGGGTTCGAGGTCTGAAACTACATATACAAGACTTCTTGCCAGCTGGAGTCTTGCTAAGTCATCCCAAAGGGAAGCACTGGTGGGAAATGAAAAGGGAGTAGAAAAAGACAGAGGCGGGCAAGCGCACAGAGGGTGGCTACAGGAAATTTCTAGGCCACGGCAGCCATGCCCCCAGGCACAACCAGGTAACAAGCCCTCCTCCCCAAACTGTTCCAGCACCTTTGCAAATACTTCACTACATCTTTCTCTGCTTGAAACATCTAAATGGTTTCTATTTTTCTAACTGGACACAGACTGATACCCCCAAAGAATTCAGATGCTGGAATTATTGAACCTATACTGTAAAATTATGCTTACTCTGTATAAAGAAATACAAAAGACAAGCCCAGGGACACCTAGGTGGCTTACTTGGTTGAGCGACTGGCTCTTGGTTTCCACTCAGGTCATGATCTCACCATTTGTGAAATCGAACCTGCTTGGGATATTCTCTCTCTCTCTCTCCATCTCCGTGTCCCTCCCCTGGTCACTCACACACACTCTCTCTCAAAATAAATTTAAGAAAATGTAAATAAAAGACAAGCCCAAATGATCTGCAAGGAAGAGAAAATTTTAAGGGACAGTAAAATAAAAAGGAACAAACAGAACTTCTAAAACTGGAAAACAAAATTGATAAAATTAAGAACTTAGCTTTAACAGCAGCTCAAACAGAAATATACAGGTAAAAAGAAGTTATGGAAAATGCAAAGAGACATTAAGAAACAAAGGACAAGGTGAGACAATTTTACACTGAATTGAATTCCCAGAAGAGGAAAACATCACAGAGGCAGTATTTGACCTAAAGGCTGAGCAATTCCAGAACTGATGAAATATACCAATTGACTGATTCAGGAAGCCCAAATAACCAAAGCAGGATAAGATGTGGTACATATACACAATAGAGTATTACTCAGCAATCAAAAAGAATGGAATCTTGCCATCTGCAAGTACGGGATGGAACTGGAGGGCTTTATGCTAAGTGAAATTAGAGAAAAGACAAATATCATGTGACTTCAGAAGAACATAGGGGAAGGGAACAAAAATATAAAAACAAGGAGGGGGACAAAATGGAAGAGACTCTTAAATACAGAGAACAAACTGAGGGTTGCTGGAGGGGTTGGGGTGGGGGGTGGGCTACATGGGTAAGGGGCACTAAGGAAGACACTTGTTGGGATGAGCACTGGGTATTATACATGGGGGGTGAATCACTGGAATCTTCCTGAAATCATCATTCCACTATATGCTAACTAACTTGGGTCTAAATAAATAAATAAATAAAATTAAAAAAATAAAGATATTGTGTTTAAAGAAAAAGGGAATCAATCACTGGAAAGCGGGAATGGGGAGAAGAGGTGGGAGAGATGAGGAGGGGTCCTGGAGTGTCCTGGAATCATCAAGTGCTAGGGGTGGGGAGCAGAGGATGAGGCCACCGTGGGAGCAGCACAGTCGCAGCTGTGGCAAAAGGATGCACTTGAATGCCGAGGCTGTGAACTTCAAGTAAGACCCATTCACTGCTTTTCTAGACCACATTCAGCTGCTTAGGTGTGTTAGGTGTCACATTTAATCAGGGTTACAGTTTTGCTACAATAAAAAAGGTGGGAGGGGAATAAAGCAAGAGGGCCAAGAGAGACGGAATATTAACAAGGAAGAAGTTATTACAACAACTGCACGTGGAAATTAAAAGTGGCTGAAGAAAAAAAGGCGTTCAAGAAGGCGAACGGAGTCCAATCAACGACCGTAGACGGGCCAAATGACAGAGCAAGAGGAGGGTCCTAAAGGAATGAGCTGGGAGGGTAGAAGGTGGTAGTTAACACTTAAGT